TCTCTCTCTCTCTCTCTCTCTCTCTCTCTCTCTCTCTCTCTCTCTCTAAGAAAAGAAAATTAATTTTTTTCTGAAAGGTGTTTCATCTCTTAAAAATGCGATAGAGTTTAAACAATATATGTTTCTTATTTTTTGTTTATAAAATAACATATTAAAAGCTCAATAAAAATCAGAGAAGAACACTTGGATCCCTTCCCTATCAGTTAAAACATTGTCTTGAAAACATTGTCTACTAGAAAATTACTTAGTAATTAAAAAGTATATCACGATTTCTTTTGGAATGATGACAGTGTTGTTCCACATCAAGACGAGAATTTTATTAACAGAAAGTTCAGCGTTGAAATCTTACACTCGTGAATCCCTCTAGTGACAAGTCCATGATCTTTCCAGCCGTGATGGTAAGCCTTCTTTGTGATCTCAATATTATAAACAGGATGAGCTTGCACTCGTTTGGTTTGAAGTCGTACCAGATTGATTCATACGCCGCATCGCTAATCATTTTGCTCTGAAGAAAAATGTCGCAAAAATGCGTTATCAGTGAGATAAATGACTAAATCGATAAAACTTCATCTATGCAGTATACAAAGAGAAAGTTTAGACACATTTCGACTGTACTATAGAAGTTATAAAAAAATTAAATTATTAACAGAATGCGTTCTATTTAAATAATTACGGAAGTATTAAAATTTTTTAATCCCAGTAAATATAGTAAATATAAATAATAAAATAATAAATATGAATGTTGCATAACATAGATGTAAAATGGTGTATATTTAAACATAACATTTATGTCTGTGTTTGGGATTATTTAACATAACAAGCACTTTTTTAGTTTGAATATGACATATATAATTAGTACGGATGCATTGCAACACATTCACATTGGAGGGGAAAAGAAGATTTTATCTTTTTTCTTTGTTTAAAAATGTGTTTTGTTTTAAATTGTTCCATGATGAAAATGCAGTGTAACATTATTTAAAATCGCCAGACACGTGTAACCGAATTACGTAAATTAATGTCAATGCAAATCAAATATAAGGATCTCGCTTGTGCATTCCGACCTTGGCACTGAGATACTCTCCACAAAAGCAGAAGATGAACGCTTCTACCGTAGCAGCCATGTAAAACACAATAGCTTTCATTAATGACGAGCTATCAATCGTATCCGAGTCTTGCGTACTTATTGACTGCAACATAAATCGAACTACAATATAAATTGTTACCATTCTAAGACGCTGATTCTCTTCAGTTTTGGCAATCAATTATGTGCTTACTGTTACAATCATAAAACCTAAGCAACAAATTACTATGGAGCTTGACAAGAATTGGATTAGCGCTATGTAACAGAAAATTTTTTCGATTTGATCCGAAAAGACAATAATCTTCTGATGCTTGCCGATCAATTCCTTCATGATGGAAATAATAAAACGTTGGTTGTTTTTGTTGGGAGAAATGTCTCTTAATGCATCACACAAAATTTCTATCTGACCGCTCGCATGAAGGATCTACAAAAATGCACTTTCTATAAAATCATAGAAAAAATGTTCCACACCATTAGAGATAACAATTAATTGCGCAATTATTAAATAGAAAAAGTGACAGATTATGAAATTAATATGTTCAACTCTAGGTAATTCGCTAGTAATAAAATTTTACATGCTGACAAAAAACATCAAATTTTTTTCCTTTAATTATATACATAACATTGGATTATAGGATGCTGATATTTTTTCTGCTCTTTTTAATGTTGTAGAAAAAAACTTTCTAAATATGTCGTTAAAAATACAAAAACATTTATCACATAATATTGCCTGGTTAAGTAGGTGCAGCTTAATGATATTTTTAATATATTAAGATATTAAGAAAAACTCTTTTTTACAGATTGCACTCACTAATGTGACGATTAGAGAATTCAGTACGCCAGTCGTGGCAGAAGATGCCAATTGATGAAGAAACTCAAAACACATAACGAGCTCGTATCGAGGTGACTCGTCACTCTCAAACGGGAGCTGTAGCTTAAGCGTAAACTCACGAGCAGGCATCTCGACTCCATCAGTGTCATAATCATTACTATGGGACACGAGCACGCCAATACCGTAGGAAAATGCTGCGGCCGAATGAAGTCCGATGATCACGTTGGAGAAGTGCCGCGACAGATTTGCCTTGTTCCTCATGGTATGCACTCCACTGATAGCGACTTCCCTCCAATCTGCAGCCATCGCAGCTAGGATGTCGTAAAATATACTGCGGCAGTTTATTCTATTCGAGAATTGACTAAACGATTCACACTTGTAAGATGAGAATATAATAAGAACAAGAAGAGGATGAGTTCCAGAAAGACAGTAGATAAAAATAATTTTTCGTGTAAATATAGCTTCATGTAAAATCGATTGTACGTTGACAATTATTACGATAAAATAGTACAATACATACTTATATGGCCATATAAATTAACTGGTTAAACTAAAGACAATTGTAAGAAAATATTGAATAAATCTACTGCATCTTCTTTCTTACAAATTTTGAAAATTGAGGTTTTTATCGTAGATAGAGGACATTAATCTCTATTTTATAGAAATATTGCTATAAGAATCGTGACTTTCAAGATTAATTTGTACAAATAAACTCAGTTTTTATCCTCGACGTAAAAGATGTTCTCTTACCGACTATTCAACCATAAAATAATCAGTTTCAGGAACATCACGCTGTATTCCATAGTGACACTCAAACCGTCCATCAGATGTGACATGTCGTCGGTTCCTAAGTGAATAATAATCCACCAGTACTGAAAAGTCTGTACTATACCAGTGGTCAATATCCAAACACCCCGAAAAAACAGCGCATACGACGCATTAGGCCAAATCCCGACAAATCGAAGACCGATTTGCACTGAAAGAGCAACAGTGCTTATAGCCGTCATTTTATCGCGTCTTGATACGTCCTTTACACCAAAATATACCAATATCCGTTCATCAATTTATATTTATTATTATATAAAATTTGGCCAAGAATTCAATAACAACAATATCCAAAATGTAACTTAGAATATTCGTCGATACTACTAACGTATAGCCACGGATTAAATATCGGAGTGAGTACAGATCTAAAACGACTCTAGAACGGCAAGTTGATTACGCAAGGGTCGCCAGACGTAGAAATAATCACCGATCAATTGTAACTAATTGAGAATAAGAATGTTATAACTGCTTATACTGAACATAGAGAGGGAATTATATAAAATTGCAACGATCGAGCGATAATTACGACGCTTACAATATACGATTGTCTTATTCTGTAAAAAATATTGCCGGTAGAACAAATTGCTAACCTGAATAATGTAAGAAACGATTTTCCTCTACCTTCGCGGGAACAACCATGGATCTAGAATAATAGTTCTTTGAAGAAATGTTAAAATATGTTAGAGAAAACGCAGATCATATACGCGTAAGTGCTTCCAAATGTGCAGTAATTAGCGACGATTTTTCATGGAAGAACAATAGTATCATATATGAGGTTTCCAAACTTTTTATTTTTCTTTTAATAAATTTTTTTTTGTCGTAAAAAATATCGCCGATAGAACAAATTGCGAGCTTGAATAATATAAGAAACGATTTTCCTCTACCTCCGCGGGAGCAAGCACAGATCTAGAATAATAGTTCTATGAAGAAACGCTAAAACATATTAAAAAATCGCTCTTTTCTACGAAAAAATCATATACGCGTAAGTGCTTCCAAATGTGCAGTAATTAGTGACAATTTTTCATGGAAGAACAGTAGTATCATATATGCGAGGTTTCCAATTTTTTTATTTTTATTTTAAGGAATTTTTTTGATAAATTCGAAATTATTTATCTTAATAATAAATCAAGTAGTATAAATAAAATCTTTTCTCTGTGATAAATTTAATAATAAATTTGTTTTAATAACAAATCTGGTATTACACATGAATTATTTTTCTTAATTCTTATAGCACATTAAAATTTTCAAATATTTTTATATGTTCTTGTATCTTCTGCTTTATTTTTCTGTACAGTTCTATCGATATACTTCTTTTAGATCCTTTATTTAACGAGAAAACGACGATCAATGCTAGAATATAATGTTTTAAATCATAATAAAATTATATTAAATAAAGTTTTTTCACTTTAAGTATCACAGGATTAACTAAAATATTATGATAAAGTTATTATCATTTGTGTACTATATACACAATATCTACAATTTCTACTATTACATTGATACAATTAATTTATAAAAAGAAATAAACAATACCTTCTAACAGTGTATATACGTAGTTCTAACAATAAGTATATACAATTTCTTCAGCATTAATATTAATACATTGCGTATAAAACAGATATATACGATGCGGAGGCTTTCAAACTCTGAAAAATTAAATAATACGCAATATAAATCAGTTTACCGTATATATAGATTAAAAACAAAGTATTATAATCCTGTTGAATATTTCCAGGTGGGTTCTCATGGGAAGCATAGAAATTTATATAAGATATTCAAAATCCATATGGAAATCTACAGGGTGTATCGTAATCTGTCTAATATTCACATATGCATATACATACTTTATAACTTTTTTATTTAATTTTAAGAAAACTTTCTTTCTATATTTTAAATCACGAATTTTAGGATCCTGTATAGTTGCGTGCATTGCTTATAACTTAAACAGACAATAAGTGACTTATTAATTGGAGAACTGGTGTAGCACGTAACGAAGGAGACTCATAATCAAGAGGTCCCAGGATCAAATCTTACTAAGGTGCATTTTTCAAGACTAATTTAAATAATTTATTTCAGGTAAAAAAAAATTACTACAAACCTCTTAGGAATAATAAAATATGTAAGTCTTACAAGTATAAATAATTTTTTTTTCGAATATTGAACTAGTGTCAGCTTAAGTCTAATCCATTTCAATGGATTTTGACATAGAAAACCACATGATCTCTTATAGGAATCCACATAGCTCTTAAATTTCTGGCCCAAATCCCTATAGGAAGTCAAATAAAATCTCATACGGATTGCCATATGGATTTCTTATGTGGGTCCCTACTCAGTTTTTTCAACAGGGAAACAAAACATTATTGAAAAAACGATATGAATAATATAAATAAAAAATATAAGAAAATATAATATAAAAAATATATAAAATATATAAAAAATATAAAAAATATAATAAATATAATAAATATAAAAAATATAAAATGTTAAATAAAAAATATAATATATTTACTTATTATTTTACATATAATGTGAAATAAGTGTGAGCTACTCAAAATTGCTTTCTCGTAATATATTATTAATTATAATTTTCTTTAATTTTGATTTTTCATAAATAGTGCCTTACAAGACAAATCGAATATCACACATGATATACAATAATTCTTAGCACTCCTATCATAATAAAAACAACATAATATAGATACTTAACATATATTGTAACACAAATGTCTATTATTAATTTATGCATAGCTATAAAAAATCCACAACTCCATTATTGAAATCTTACATTTGCGAATCCTTCTAGCGATAAATCCATAAATTTCCCCGCAGTAATCGTCAGTCGTCTTTGCGATCTCATGATCACAAATAGTAAAATACGGCTATCACGAGGCTTGAGATTGTACCAAACAGATCCATATACAGCATCGCCAATTCCTTTACTCTAAAATGCGAATGAAAGTCAAATGCATGTAAAGAAACAATGACATTATCGGCACATACTCGGTGGTCCATTTTCACATTAGCAATTTCTCGTCCAACTAACGCTAAATATTTAAAAAATGTTGATAAAGTCCCAAAATATAAATATTCCAAGACTATTCCGGAATATTCCGAAACATTTACCAAATGTAAAAGCAACATTTAAGATAATTTAAATAATCGCTAAATATTCATACATCGTTACATATTCGGAGAATGTTCCATATATATCCCACAAAATTATAATTTTACCAGAAATCCCAAGTTCCTTAATCGCTGAATAAAACTTAAACAAAATTGTTAAAAACACATTTCATATACTTTCACCCAATTTTGAAGCTCACTTTACAGGCAAAATACGGTCTTTATATTCTTTCCCTTTTCTTTTAATTCTTACTTTTAGAGTTAATGCATCTCCGCCGCGGCCCTCTGTCGGCGGAGATGTGTAATGCTCGCTTGCGAGTGATTTCCGTGATATATATGAAGGGTATTCATACAATATTCTAAATGTTTCATCGACATTTGCACATTCTGCGACAATTTTTTTATTGTCCGGAATATTTATGCATTAGGAATACAAATTGAACTTTCTATGAATAATTGATGTTAGCTGGGATTCATATCAATCCAATCTTTTTATCAGCAGCACTAATGATCTTTTTAATATTAACAGATTTACGTGGAACAGCGAAAAACTAATAAATAATTTCAGTACTTACCTTATTACTCAGATATTCACCAACAAAACAGAAGATAAATGCCTCTAGAGTAATAGCGATGTAAAAAAACAAGGTTTTTACTAACATCCGAACGCCTTCACCTGTGCCCAACGACTGCAAATCAAGAAAAGATCGGGAAGAAAGTTCAATAAGTTCTATAAGAATCTATAAGACCTCAGACATGGGAGTAGAAAGCAGTCATTTTCCACCATACAACTCGTGAGAGTCGCAAAAGGCTTTATGTAAGGATAAAAGAAATCGAAGATATCCGGTTAGTCTTAAAACATTATAATAAATGGAAAGGATGACTCTTAAAAGAGCTCGAAGTCATGCGAATGCGTTCACACAACAATCTTTTTACTTCCTTTCTGTTTGTGTACAGAATAGTGGAGTTTCATGTCTACAATGCGGTTTCAGCGCACACGTGAATCTGAGACCACTGTTATTTTGAATATCATGAAATATACTCGAAATAAAAATATGTAAAGGGAATAGAAAAGTTATTCGCGGTTATTTCTTTCGTTACTTTTTATAATAACAATTTGATAATGACGTTGCAATTTTTTATGACTATAATGATAACTAACTAAACGCTGAGATTGTGCTAAGATTGAGAAAGTCACTCACTTTGAAAGTAACTTGCATCATTACACGTTTATTTACTAAAAAAAGTAATTTGTAACGAATAACGAGTAACATTACTCGTTATAAATTACTTTTTTCGAAAATTAGAAGTGATGACTAAAAAGAAACGAGTTACGAACGCTGAGTTAATTTTTTAGTAACGAGTAACTTTTCCAATTTGTTACAAGGAATGATCGAGTGACTCTCCAAATTTGATGTTATCGTTACAATCATAAAGAAACATTATCATTGTTAAATCATTATTATAACAGAATAACAATAAAGAAAATAACGGTATTACAAGTGGTTACTTCATTCCCTGAATATGGTGTAATACATATGACATATATATAATTACGTATAGAAGTAAAATTAAAAGTTTACGTTATTCTTTTCCAATTAAAAATGTATAAGATCTCACGTTCAACGTTCGAGTACAAGTATACCAATAGATATCATCTTTAAAGACAATATCTTCGCACATTTTGTAAAGTGCATTAATTAAGTGCATTGGGGAAATTTCAAATATGTACGACGCTTAAAAAACAAAAATTTAACAAACACTTACAGATCTCGGATACTTACAGTTACTATAAGAAATCCGATGCAACATATGATCAAAGTATTCGAGAAAAATTGCATCAAAGCAATGTGAGAAAAAAGACTCTCGATACTCTCCGAGAAATCGATAATCTTATGATGCTTATTGATTAAAGATCTCACAATGGTAATGGATAAATCACGTTTGTTATCTTTGACAAAAATCTCTTCCACTTCCTGTTGCATAAGGTCTATTTGTCCACCAACGTGCAGCATCTGTATATTGTTAATTATTTATTTAATTACATGACTGGTAAACAAAAGTACTTCAACTATCAACAAGTATTATATAAACAATCTTTTATCTTTAATATAATTTAAATAGTACATACACATTATTTAATGTATCGATAAATGCAAACATAAAATATTATATTTTTTAATATAGAACATGTATGTATTTATCATTACATCAAATAATATTTATGTGTAATATACATATATATTTACTAATGCATTTATTACATCTTTAATATTGTATATGAATTTATCGACAAATGAAATAAAAAAAAAATTTTATTAGATGAAGCGCAATATACACACTTGATAAAATGTTTCGCAAATAGCGATATATGTAATATGTAAATACATATGTAAAATGTATAGTATATATACGCGATCTAAAAAGGAATTATAAAGGAACAAATAATCAAGTTGACTATTTTAACACAAACTATAGAAATCAAAGCCTTAAATAGTCTAGCTGGATTTTAATGCTCGTATGATTCTTATGTGAATTTATATACTACGTGTGTAGTCCCCAGAAACACAAGCCGAAATGATTTTTCAAGAATCATACAAGCATTAGGATCCAGCTAAACCGTTTAAGGCTTTGATTTCTATAGTTTGTGTTATCACGTACGGTCCTATAATATATTTATTATATTGACTATTTTAAATTTGTTTTAGGTACATACTAAAATGTCTTCGAAATAAGTGGATATACCAGCCAGCTCGCGACAAAGCATCAAACGTCGTCGAAAGATCTAACCCAACTCGTGATACGAGCAGAAACATAGAGCAACTTTACGATATTGCTCTAAGGGAACAACCCCGAAAAGAAACCACCCCATCTAAGCGCGGAACCCAACATGAAGGGCCGACGCTACGCATGCGCATAGATCGTAGATCGAAAACGCGAATGAATTGCAGGACAATACAGAGACGCGAACCTGATAGACTTATAGAAAAGAGGGGATAAGGTTGAGCCCTGCGGGCTGCGGCCATCGATCATCGCTACTGCGGATCGAGAATCTGTCAGTTCGGAACGTCTCATGTGTGACATATGTGTTACCACTTGCGCCTGCATTTCGTGTCATACCATTCGGTTTAATTTCTTTTTTTTTTGTTTCTTGTATATACTTGTTTTAATTTTTTTTTTCCCCAGTGCAGTGCTTTCCTTACATTCGTGTGTCGCGCATAAATGATGATTTAAATAACGAATACAATTCGATTTCTTTATGAACTTTCGATGAGTTAAAAATTCCTTGCCTTATAACTTGTTTATTTGGTTTAATTAATATTTTGTTAATTTTACATTAAAACATTTTAAGTGAAAATCGACCGATGAAATGGAACATACATAAGTAAAAAACGCTATATTCGATCAAAGCGTTTCTTCATGTCTAGTAATATTTCTTATGAATTCATATAACAATTTAATTGACAAGATAATTAAATTGCTTGTCAACTTAATTTGTATTATTACTCCAGTTTTAGTTTAGGACTATGTTTTGAGACCGACAAATAATCGGTGCATATAGTTTGCTTGAAGTGGAAATTGTATCAATTCATAAAAAATATTATTAGGCATAAAGAACTACCTTGACCGAATATTGTGTTTTTTATTCATTAAATATTTGATTTATTTAATTATTGGTAATTTTTATTATATTTATAAAATAATCTTTTTTTTATCTTTAAAATTAATTATCTTTTTAAACTTTTTTCTCATTAAAGAACGTCAATTGGAAAAAACGAAAGTAATTTTCAAAATAGTTGCCTTAGAAACTGTATCATACATGTACAGGATGTCTAATAATTGTTCTGACAGAGTTAGTGGACATGTAGAGCGGAGTAAACTGAGACGGAAAGACCTCTATCATTTTGCAATTTCCGCAACAGTTAACAAGATATCAATTGTTAAAAATTGCCGAAAATTGATCTTTAATAATTTTTTACTCAAATACTATCACCTTTACAGAAAAACTGTAAGAGATAAAAATTATTTATTTTCTTCTCGTAGAATTCTACGAATTTTTTCAGAATTTTTTATCAACTTTTTAGTACTGCATTTTCTTATTTTTACCAACATGAAAAAATACGGTATTAAAAAATTCTTAAAAAATTCTTAAAAAATTCTTAGAGCTCTATAAGAAGAAAGTAAACAATTTTCGTCTCTTGCAGTTTTTCTGTAAAGTTGATAATATTTGAATAAAAAATTATTGAAGACTAATTTTCAGCAATTTTTAGCAATTAATATCTTGTTAACTATTGCGAAAATTGTAAAATGGTAGAGGACTTTCCGTTGCAGTTTAGTCAGCTCTACATGTCCACGAACTCTGTCAGAACAAACCAGACATCCTGTACATGTCACATCCTCCGAGAGAGATATTCTTTTATATGATAATGCGCTTTTATTTTTTTAACGGAGATAAGAATTAATTCTTATTAATTATTAATAATGAAATTCTCATTAATAAAATAATTTTTTTATCATTGAGAATTACTCATGTATTACAAAAATTATAGAAAAATATATTATATTATTAAATCGCAAGAAAAATAATTGTAAGTGTCGATCGTAGCTCACCAACGTAACCAATAATGCGTCGAGCATACCTATGGCGGAGGCGACCGCCATTAGGCGAACAAATTGCACGAACATTACGATTTCATAAATCGGCGATTCGCAGAATCCAAAAGGCAATTCCATCTTTATTAATAACTCTCGGCAATCGTCATCACTCTGCTTGTTAAGATTGATAGAAGCGGTACTGTAAAGCAATACTGCTATCGAGTAAACACTGATGATCAATTTTGAGCAGCGATGTGCGAGGACCGCCTTGTCAATCATGGCGTACATGTTGGAATATTTGTGCCAATCGTTGGACATCGCTGTCAGGATATTTTTGAATATTCTGCAATTTAACACTTCGCAACTGTCACAATACCGATCTAGATTCATGACATATCGCTAAAAATGCGCTTCCGCCAGTTTGCAATGACGAAAAGAGTCACAAAATCGATTACCGAGCTAATTCTTTTCGTCAAAAGCATAAGTTTATAACTGTCAAATGCATTCGAATTTTTGCTCTGTATTATCAATACGCAGAAAAACATAACATTATGTTTGTAGCATAAAATCTTCTCGGGCGAACCAAAATTAAACAATAATTAATTATAAAGCACTTTGAAATAATCTTGCTCGGCAATCAATACATTTTGCACTTAACATTAATTTTTTTAATCTGTCTTAATTAATTCTTAATCTGAATTAAATTCTGACATTAAAATATAATATTTCGTAAAATTATTATATTTTGTTGGACGTACCGATGATTGACCCACAGGACGATCAGTTTGAAGAAAAGAAGACTATGTGGCAAAGTAGTACTTAAACCGTCTATCAGATTCGGTAACTCCTTGGTGCTGAAATGTGTCAGAAGGTAATGATACTGGAAGATCAACCCTATTCCCATCACCAATGTCCAAAGTAGTTTAAAAAAAACCGAAGCATTCGGCCATATTCCAGTAAGACGAAGGCCAATTTCGACCGATCGACTGACAGTGCTAGTCGGTATCATCGCGCAAAACATTCCACGTATTTTTATCTCTCCGTTGACAAATCAAATGGTATAAATTTTTATTGAGACTTCCGTGTGATCACTATACGTACTCGAAGAATAAGTTTCAAGATATTAACAAGAAGATCGGTAACCTTAACTACCACCGACCAATCGCATATGCTAAACGTGTCTTTTCGTCATATGCTTAGTAATGCAGAAAAAAGTTACTACGATCGAACGATGATTGCAGGTCTTGACAGGCGAAGAATCGACGAGACTGCTATTTTGTCGTTTCCCGAATAGGAAAACCATCTGTCGCCATTATTGCGGATGATTTACTTTAAAAATGCAAGGAAATAGGGAAAAAGTTACAACACGCTAGTACAAGAGCAAAAATCGCCAGAGTGACCATCGTCAAAAGAAGTTTCTGAATAAAGTAGCGAACATAAGTTCTCAAACATGGTGCTGAATTTTCGCGACTGATCGGTGGACGTGCATAAGAAAATGCAATATGCAAAAAATAAACCAATTTCATACGTCATTTCAATTCGAATGTGTACAATTTAAATTAAAGTGATCTCGGATCGGGAATCTAAAGTTGCCAATAATACTCTACTATACATAAACTTATATATTATGTGCTGTACATTAATCCACATTCACCCAGGACGAGGGAATTTGGATAAGTATTTCAATAGAACTTTGTACGATGTAAACACAAGATAAATATTATTTTACATATTTTTAAATGACGGGAACATTTATAACATACATATATCTTACGTCTCGTTCTCAAAGTTTATAAATAAGAGATAAGTAAAATATGTATAAAGACGACAAATGAGTAAAATGTAAAAAAATAAGATTCACGTAATACTTAATGATTTAAAATGATACAGTATACGTATATATATATATATATATATATA